GCCCGTGCGCACCCGTGAGCCTCCGAGCGCGGCTTGAGTCGTCTTGCTCCTCCTCCTCCTTCTCCTCCTCCTCCTCCTCTTCCTCCTCCTCCTCATCCTTTTCCTCCTCCTCCTCCTCTTCCTCCTCCTGCTCCTCCTCCTCCTCCTACTCCCTCTCCTGACTATCCTCCTCATCGTGTCTGTTCGTGTCTTCTTTCCAGCTATCCTGCGTCCCTCGGTTTGAAGAGACAGCGCCCCGCGTCATTCCTTCCTCCTCCCGCTCCCCCTCATTTCCTTGCCTCTGCCCTCCCTCGAGTCCCCCTCTCACGCTTCGTGGCCCAATGTGGAGTTCCACCGAAGGCCCCAGCGGCAGGGTCCGCATGGCGGCGACGCACAACCAATTTCGGCACAGACCTCTCACGTTTCGTGCTGCACACAGGGAGCTGCCCCTCTTTTGCCCCACCTGCCTTGCAGTTCTCGCACCCGCATATGATAGGGTCTCTCGCTGGAAACATGTGTGCTGTATATCTATATATATATGTATATACATTTGAATTTATAAATGTACGTACAGATGCTGTTGTTGCTGCGGTTGTTATTGTCGTTGTTGTTGCTGCTGTTGTTGTTGGTGATGGTGGTGGTGGTGGTGTTGCTGTTGTTGTTGTTGTTGCTGTTGGTGCTGGTGTTGTTGCTGTTGCTGTTGCTGTTGTTGTTGGTGTTGTTGCTGCTGCTGCTGCTGTTTTTGTTGAGTGTTAATTTCTAATCAAGTTTTATTGTGGGACTCCCCCAGACGCCCTGGCGCTCTCGCCTCGGCGCCGGCTACATTATCATTGAACATGAGGCTCACGTTCGAGCGGTTTGGGAGGGCGCCAAAACCAGCCCCCAAGCAACAACAACAACAACAACAACAACAACAACAACAACAACAACAGCAGCAACAACAACAACACCAATCATTGTAAGACTGTTCGCCCTTATCTGCTCGAGTGTCGAATAACGCGAAGTTCCCAAGCCCTCGATACCCGCCCTTTTCGTCTTCGACCGAACCCCTTTTGGGGGGTAAACTTTTCTTCCCTGCAGGCCGGGCCCCGGCAAGCGGCGGGGCGGCCGCGGACCGTCGGCCTGGCCAGCGGCAGCGCTGATCGGCGGGGCGGCCGCGGACCGTCGACCCGACCCCAAGAGGGACGGACAGGGGACCGACCACGACGACGACGACGACGACGTCGACGACGACGGCAACGACGGCGACGGCGACGACGACGACGAGCGAAAGCGAGAGCGAGAGAGAACGACAGCAGAGCCACGAAGGACACGAAGTAGGCCACGAAGAGCGACAGCGGGGACACGAAGAGAATGCGCATGGGGCCACGCAGAGCGCGAACGAGCGTGGGCCACGAAGGGCAGATAATGTGGGGCCACAGAAGGCAACAATGGGGCCACTGAGGGTAGCACCTGGGCCACGTAGGACAATGAGGGGGCCACAAACGGCGACAGCGGGGCCACGAAGGGCATGCACATGGGGCCACACCTGGCGCGAACGAGCGGGGGCCACGAAGGGCATGGGTATGTTGGGCCGCGGAGGGTACGGACGGGGCCGCCGAGGGCAGCAACGGGGACACGAAGGGCAGCGAGGGGGCCGCGAAGGGCGACGGCGGGGCCACGAAGGGCATGCATATGGGGCCACCACGCGCGCGAACGAGCGGGGGCCGCGAAGGGCATACATATATGGGGCCACGAAACAAAGCGAGGGGGCCACGAAGGGCTGCAACGGGGCCACGAAGGGCAGCGAGGGGGCCACGAAGGGCTGCTGCTGCAACGGGGACACGAAGGGCTGCAACGGGGCCACGAAGGGCAGCGAAGGGGCCACGAAGGGCTGCTGCTGCAACAGGGCCACGAAGGGCAGCGAGGGCGCCACGAAGGGCTGCAACGGGGCCGCGAAGGGCAACGAGGAGGCCACGAGGGGCTGCAACGGGGCCACGAAACAAAGCGAGGGGGCCACGAAGGGCTGCAACGGGACCACGAAACAAAGCGAGGGGGCCACGAAGGGCTGCAACGGGGCCACGAAGGGCAGCGAGATCCAGATTCCTAGGTAATCTGTGAAGGAGTCCGAAGCGTGAGCGCGATTCCTGGGGGCCTGGGTGTCGGGAGCGCGGCGCTGGAGTAAATTGCAAGACGTTCCAACGCAAGGGCGCTAATCTTGAGTAAATTGCAAGCGAGTCTCCAGCGAAAGCCCAAGCGAGAGCGCGATTCTTGAATAAAATGCGAGGACGTCTCGGGCGGGAGCGGGGGTCCTGGCTAAATTGTAAGGAAGTCTCAGGCGGGAGCCGTTGTTGTTGTAACCCGGGGGCCAGGGGGCCAGTTTGAGCAGGAAGATTTTCTTTGACAAAAAACAAGGTGCGAGCCCCTGGGGGGGCACTTCAATTGAAAAAATAAATTTGCACCGGTGGGGGGAATCAACAATAGTAATTCTTTAAGAATGAGAGTTCAACCACAACAACAACAACAACAACGCTCCCGATCGAGACACCCTCCCTTATTTACTCAAGGCGGTGCTCCTCCTCGCCGCCGAAAGCCGCCGTCCCAACAAATCCAGTGCTCCCGCCCGAGACTTCCTCCCGTTATATCTTGGACCGGCGCCCTACTCTCTTTTGAATTGGCGCCGCTCCCAGCAAGAACAACGCTCCCGCTCGAGCCTTCTTCTTTTTTTCCTCAGGACGGTGCTGTTCCTCGCCGTCGACAGCCCCCGTCCCGACAAAACCACTGCTCCTGCTCGAGGCTTCCTCCCTTTTTACCTCAAGGCGGTGCTCCTCCTCGCCGCCGAAAATCGCCGTCCCGACAAAACCATCGCTCCCGCCCGAGACGTCCTCCCGTTTTACGCGAGATTCCCTACTCTCTTCAGAATTGGCGCCGCTCCCAGCAACAACAGCGGCCCTGCTCGAGACTTTCTTCCTTTCTATTCAGGCCCAGGTCCTTGTCTCGCCGCCGACAACCCCTATCCCCACCAAGGCAATCCTGTCGCTCGATACTCCCTTGTGCTTTACCCTTGGCTGGGGCTCCACTGGCGGTCTCGCATCGGCGCAGCAAGGCGCTGGCATGTGCTTTCGAGGTGGGATATGTAGAAATTCCTCGGAGGAGGTGTTTGCAAGACCTCATTGGGCGGGATATCCTGGAATGGGAATAAGGGTCTCCGATATGGAACAATGATCCACCATGATGGGGATAGTTATCATGATGGTCGCATGCTTCCTGTTGAAGCATCGCGCATGAGGGTAAGATGATTGTTGTTGTTGCGGTTGTTGTTGGTGGTGGTCTTGTTGTTGTTGTTGTTGGTGTTGTTGGTGTTCTTGTTGTTGTTGTTATTGGTGGGGGTGGTGGTGCTTCTGTTGTTGCTGATGTTGTTGTTGGTCCCCTCCAGTAAGCAGTGTTTTTTGAATGAATGAGCTTCTCCCGGGGTTCGAGCCTTCTTTGTTTACCAGGGGAAGTGAGGTCACCAAACTGTGTTGGTGGGGTCTGGTTTACAACAACAGCGGCTCCAGCATGAGACTTCCTCACCATGTATTTCCAAATCGTGCTCTCTCGCGGGACTTCCTCACAATTTACACCGGAATCGCGCTCTCGCGTGGGTCCTCCTCGCAATTTCCCCAGACGCCGCGACATTCAGGAATCACGATATCGCTGTGGATGTCCTCATGATTTATCTGGGAATCGCTCTATCGCTCGAGGCTTCCTCGCGATTCATGCAGGACGCACGCTTCAGCAACCCGCCTGCGCCTTGTCCCTTCCTTCCATCCGTCCTATTTTCCCCTGCCTTCGGGGCTGCACGAAGTACACGTTGCAGGTAAGAAAGATATGTACCCCCAAGGGGGTTGCGATCGAAGACGTAGAGGGCGGGTATCGAGGTTCTGGGGTATACGTGTTGAGTGGCACGCGAACAGGCAGGAGCGAATAGTCGATATATGATTGTTGTTGTTGCTGCTGTTGTTATTGTTGCTGTGGTCTCGTTTCTAAAGAAGAATTGCTGATCCCCCCTCCGGTAACCATTGTATGTTTCACTTAAAGAGCCGTTCCCGGGGCTCGCACCCTGTTTTTTTACAATGGAAAGCGAGGGGTCACCAAATTGGGTTGTCGGCCCCAGGTTTACAACAACAGCGGCTCCCCGTCTGGTTGTACCACTTGTTTTCTGTTCCTTACTCCTCTCCTGCTAGATTCTTCTCCCTCCCCCTTCCACCCGTCTTCTCTTCCCTTGTTTTAGGAGCTGCACTAAATGCACGTGGCAGGTAAGGAAGATATACCCCCAATGGGGTACGATCGAAGACGACGAAGGCGGGTACCGAGGGTTTGGGATACACGTATTGCTTGGCACGTGAGCAGATAGGAGCGAACATACTTAAATTGATTGTTGTTGTTGTTGGTGGTGGTTGTGGTGGTTGTTGGTGTTGTTGTCGTTGTCGTTGTCGTCGTCGTTGTCGTTGTCGTTGTCGTTGTCGTTCGTTGTTTTTGTTGCTGTTGCTGTTTTTGTTGTTTCTGTTGTTGTTATTGTTGTTGGTGTTGTTGTTGTTATTGTTGTTGTTTTTGAACTCTCACTTCTGAAGAATAATTACTGTTGATCCCCCCTCACCCGTGCATACTGTTTTTCTGTATCAAAGTGTGCCCCTCGACGCTAGCACCTTGTTTTTTGACAGGAAAAGTCTTGATGCTCAAACTGCGCCCATGCCCCCCCCTGATTACAACAACAACGGCTCCCGCTTGAGACTTCCTCCAAATTTACTCAGGACCCCCGCTCCCGCTTGAGAACTCTTCACAATGTACTCAGGATCGGTGCTCCCGCCTGTGACTTCCTCGCAATTCAGTCAGGACCCCCGCTCCCATCTGAGACTTCCTCACAATTTACTCAGGAATTGCGCTCCCGCTTGAGACTCCCTCGCAATTGAGCCAAGACTTCCTCGCAATTTAATCAAGACCTCCGCTCCCGCCAGAGAGCCCTTCACATTTTATTCAGGAATTGCGCTCCCGCCTGAGAC